TCTCTCTTCCCGTAATCACAAAAGAGTTCCCCTACCGGGTCTGTATACTTCGTGACTTTGTTCCCGGTTATCGGGTCTGTATACACTTCGTTCCAAAAATTATGATTCTTCTACGAGCAAGAGAACGGCTAGAATTGATATTTACCAACCTGGGCAATATCGCCTGCTAATTATTCCTTTATTTATTTTTTCTTATGTTTTTAAGGTCTTTTGCAACACAAACTTTGAAAAAAAAATGTGTCTTTTCTCATGGCATGGCAAAGCATAGACAATGACAATGACAATGCCAATGACAATGCCAATCTTTATTCATCTTGTCTTGGTCGTTAACAATGGCAGTAGACGTTACAAAAGTTAGACTTAAAGGTGCACTCACGCAAACGCACAACAAGACAGGGCGTGGAGGCGATGGACAAAAGGAGCGGAAAGGGGGAGGTGGCGGAGATGGGCGTCAAGGGATCACGATTCTACCACAAATAGCACATGTCCTCCGTTGTTCTCACCATGGACAATTATGTAAAAGGACGGATGGATGGACTGATACATTTATTGACCAACGGTTCGATGGACGAAGGGACGGACGTACAGGCAGCTCTGGTTAGTTGGGTGGGTGGGTGGGTGGATGGGAGGGCAGATGGACGGATGCACTGATCGACCGAAAGTGGGATGGACGAACGGACGGACGGATGGATGGACGAACGGACGGATGGATGGATGGATGGATGGATGGATGGATGGATGGATGGATGGATGGATGAGTGAAGGGATGAAAAACAATAACAACGACATTTAGAACAATGACAACAACTGTAAAAATAACAAAAACAGCAACAACCAGCGATAAAACCACATAAACAGAATCCCCCCCACACACACAAGAGAAACAAAACCCCCCTAAAAAACAACAAAAAACAACAACAATAATAAAACAAAACAAGACAGAAAACCCCCCCAACCCCAAAACACCCCCAGCAACAATAATAACAACTGCAGCCAAAAAATAACAGAAGACGCCACCACCTCCAACAGCAACAACAACAATAGCAGTACCAACAATACAGGAAGTGGACCGCCCTCACCCCAGGCAATAACAATAACATCAACAGCTACAGTTTCAATAACACTACGAGTAACACAGAGCGTCCCTACAATTAACAACAACAACAACAACAACAACAACAACAACAACAACAACAACAACAGTACATGTACCAATAATAGCAGCTGCAATCAAATTACACACAATGACAACCAAACAGCAACAAAACAAACTAACAAAGAAACGTAAAAGAGCTAATAAAGAAAATCAAACACCCACCATCTCTACCCCCCTCCCCACAAACAACAACAACAACAGCAGCGAAACCAAAAAAAAACAACCAAAACACACACACACACAAACAACAGCAGCCCACCCCACCACCACCACCACCACCAACAACAACACCAAATAAAAACAACAGCAATACCAGTAATACAAACGGAAACAACTCATTATTCAGACCGTCCTCCTCCCCCTCCCCCTCCCCCTTCCCCATCCCTCTTCCGCAATCAATTCCAACAAAGCCATCAAGGAATTCCCTTTCTCTGTCGCCATGGACAAGAGTGTAGCTTATTGATTAGGACTCCTGATCTCTCTCATTTCGCACGGGTCTGATGAACAACACCGAACTGGGTCAACGCACGGTGCCGATGAACTTGTCTCAGAATTATAAAGGAAAAGAAAGGGAATAAGGGAAAACGAACGAACCCCCCCCCCCAAAAAAAAAAAAGTAACATACAAAACAAAACAAAAAACAAAACGAAACAAAATTACAAAGGAGGAGCCAGCGAGTCTTTTAGGGCCAGCCAGCCAGCAGCAGTGTTCTGGAAGGCTGAAGGAGTATCGAGGCCTGCCAGAATCGACTACCCATACATGCACGAGAACATATCGAAGTAAAGTTTAAGGTAAAGGTCTACCTCCCCCCCCCCCCACCCCCATTCTATTTTTAGTAAAGAGAAACCACACCAAACAAACCACGCACCTAACCTTCCTTGTATCTTTTTCAATATTAAACGGTGCTACCCCCCCCCCCACCCCCCTCAGCCAAGTCCTGTGCTACATAAGATAAAAAAGAAAAATGTTATTTGTTCCAGTGGTGTCTTCCCCACATGTTAGTTACCCACTCTCTCACTACACAAAAAGTAACAGCACAGTACACAGCAGCACACACTTACACAAACAGAATGCTGTTGAATAGCTCCTGTTGGCAAGAAAGCACATCAACCAAATTTTGCCAGTAGTAATAACTGACAATCAAACCTGCTTTAAGGGCCGCCTGTCCAAGAAAATCACCTGTCTAAGCAACCATCTCCCACTCCCACTATAATGACACTGTCCAAGATAATCACCTGTCTTTTTTTTTTTTAAATAGTAGAGGGTTTTACGGTGCTCGCAACTGCATAAGGTCATGAGCGCTAAGGGGTGGGTGTCAACAGAGAAGTCTTTACAGGGAATCAGACTTAGACTGCTCACCTCTCTAGCTTCAACAGCACAAGGTCTGCTTCAACAATCAAGGCACCCCGGAAATAGCGGGTCACAAGAGAGTGACAAACATACAAAAGAAGTAGAGGAAAATGACAATAGTAAGGATCAGGAAAGAAAAGCCAGCAGTTCCCTGTTGTAGATCAGGCACAGTTATGAGCGTCACATGAATCAGCCCATTCACAATTCTACTATGCTTGAACGAGAAATGTCCCCCCTTTGGGAATGGCCTAGAGACACTTCAGTCAGTGGCACTGCCCCGGGGGGTGTCCACCTGTCTAAGACAACCATTTTTCTCTCCGACAATGGGTGTCCATTGGAAAACTTTGAATACATCCAGTGAAAGATATTTAAACAAACTGTACAAAAGTGAAAGGACAAAACATTACTTTTATAAGATTTCTGCCCGAGTATCACAATAGACAGTCAAGAACATCATCAAATGCAACACCAGGGAACAGTGGCTGAAAGGATGGGCACTGGGCAAAACTGCAACAGCTGTACTAGCACACATGACTGCTCCCAACTCAAAAGATGCACTAACTTCCCCGAGCAGAAGAGAACAAGTCACTATCTTTCGCCTGCGAACACAACACATCCCACTGAATTTCTACCTAAATAGGATCCGCAAGGATACCCCACACGACTGCCCGCTGTGTGACTGCCAGGATGAAACAGTATCACACCACCTCTTTTCCTGCCCTGCACTTAGCGTCGCACTTACCTACCTTCCTAGATATCGGAAATACTTTATACAGCGACAAAACACAGCAGATAAAAACCTGTAAATTCTTTGCCATACTGACAGGCCAAAGGGCTAGAACAAAGATGGCCGCTGTATTGGAAAAGTGAAGTATAAGATTTCTGAAAGAACTATACAGTCAGCATAAAAGTAATATAAGCACTGGTGAGGTTTGTTTGGAACACGACATTATTATCTCGGTTCAACACTGGAACTGACAGAATAAGAAGAGCTTTTAAACTTAAAATTTTGAAAAATCAATGACAAAATGTTTCATAACCACCAAACATTTTCAATATTCAGACATCTTTAAAATTTATACGAGCACACGCATACATATGAAATTACGGGGTGGGAGAGTAGGCTATTGTACTCACATTTGTTTCATTTTGATGCGTGCCGTGATAGGAGAAAAGTGTCACGTTGACGTCTAGGGTCCCGCCTTGAAGAAAGCCAAAGCTGGTGGTGAGGGCAATGTGCCTACGTTCATCGTTCTGAGGAGGGCACAAATATGATAAGCTCCAAGAGGTAACTCTTTGAATATTCCAACTTCATTGGCTATTTTAAGGGCTTTTCCTCTCCAGCATTTAAACTTCTCTGCTTTTTCGCAATAGAATACAAGCGGTATCTAAAATATTTACTCATAAAAAAATACTATTTCGCCCAAAAATGTGCTGTAACCAATGACTTAGCTTGAATTCAGGTTTTTAAAAATACATTTTGGCATTTCAGAAAAAATAAAACTGTAGTGACACAAAATACAGGGATGACCTGCTGAAAAACTTTAAATTCTTAACCATTTTTAGTGGAAGGGGGGGGGGGTGGATGTTCGGTAATGGGAAGGTGGGTGTATCCATTATAGGGAAGATTACCCCATTCTGTATTAGAGGTCAGCTTTTTCAGAGCCTCACATGATGATTACCTGGACAGCAAATTTATAGATCAGCATCATGGGAAGGACTTCGGCAACAAGCGACCACCCCAACAAACACACAAGAAAAGAAGAGACCAACCGTAACCCAAACAAAAACCCTAATCCTAACCCTCTATTCTATTCTGTCTCATAGTGTTCGCTCATAACGGAAGTCCTCCCTCATCATGCAGGTCAGAACTCATGAATTTGCACAAGATAGAGGGGAAGTCAAAGTAAAACAAGATTTTAGCATAAAAAACTATCCAACAACTTTCAGAATAACTTCTTGTTACTTGTAGTGTTGTCTGTTATAATTATGCCAGCAAAATTTGTCACACTAAATTATTTGGAAGTGGCTATTCCTGCCGCGGGTGAGATGAAAATTTATTTTTAATAAATTTTATACGATCGGCCTCTCACCACGGGTGAGACTGGCCAGCATTGGCTCTTCTGCAGTGAAACAAGACCTGTTTTTCCTAATTTCTGAATACATTATTTACTGTCTATCAGTGTGGACGATCAAATTGACAAAAACAATGAAAAAAAATATGTTATATAACAACAAAAGTTTCTAATTTAGTCGTGTCTACAAAGATGATGCTATGTCACTTTTTGAATCGAGCCGAACTACACCGGTCTCCATTTTGTTTTGCCCAGAAGTTCTCGCTACTCCTCCTCTCTCTCCCTATCTCTTTCTCCCCCCCCCCTCCCCCCACCTCTCTCACTGTCCACAGACAAAACTGCACGCTTTCAACACAAGAGTGCTTGAACATTTGCTTAGTATCACAGTGAACCATAGCCAACAGGCTCACCCTCTCACCCAGAGCGATTGACCTGAGCCGATGCACTAAGAGGTGAACACACACCGGGTGAGAATAGCCAGAAGATTTGCCTACTCACCCCAGGTGAGAGGCCTACAGCAACGCTATTCTCACCCCGTGGCCAAACTACGTAGTGTGACTTGTGACAAATCTTGCCAGCAGTCTAAGTCGGCGATTTTGTAGTTTCGTTCGTTAAAGTCAAGAGTAGGGGGTTTCAGGGGCCAACAAAAATACTTAGATCTAGACTAGGTGGGGGAGGGACGCCCTGAATTTTACCATAAATAATTTGATGTTTTGCAGTGTTTGGTTTCAAATCCCTGCTCTTTGTGTAGCCTATTTGGTAATCAAAACTTCTGGATTTCTTCTCTGGATGTAGATTCTATATAAACAAATTGATCGTGGACTTTTAAGACTTTAACGAACGGAACTATAGATCACCTCTTTGTAAGTCTACTCTAAGTCTAAGGCCGGTCCCAGACTGGCTTTGTAGGGCTGACCTGTAGGTGGCCTGGCTCGCACCCTGCATATGAATCATGTAAACATTATGGTGTGCTAAAGCAGCATAGCTGTGTCGTCTGTTTTTTGTCAGCACAGCTGCGCGATGCGTCAGACGTGTTATTCAACAGTGTTGTGAAAATGGCGGACATGTGTCGCCTCGCTTCATGTTTATTTTCGACTGTTGAAACTCTTCACAGATCATCAAAATCAACAAGAAGTAAGTATTATCAGGTGCTTTACTATTAAATATTGATGCTAGCATCAATACCTGGCCACAAAATCACCAAGAAATGCACTTTATCATACTTTGAAACTTCGAATCGAGAGCTTGACCTAGTTTCGAATGTTGTCGTAGGCCTAGGCATCTAGATCTAGATCTAGCCTTGCATTACCAATGTAAACTATCGCCGCGCGCAACTGCAAATGAGTTTGTGTGTGTGTGTGAGGGGGGGGGCTGCACTTGGCACATGACGTAAAGAAGAGTTGTCCCGTCTTGGTATAATTGGTCTTGGATTACACAGTACCTAAATATAGCAAGGCAGACCCATCAGTTGCACACGTACACACGTTAACACACCCTGCGGCTGTGCTAACACACCCTGCGGCTGTGCTGACACACAGTGAGTGTGCCTCGTGCTCGCTGAGACACAGGCGCCAACCCACAGTGCGGCTGTGCCGACACGCACACGGCGTGCACCAGGCCACCTACAGGTCAGCCCTACAGAGCCAGTAGCCAGCCTAAAGGCCTCTAAGACAGACTAAGAGTACAGTACAGTACAAAAAAGTCATTCAGAAAGCTAATACATCTAGTATGAAGAGTAGATCTAGATCTAATGCATACAACAACAAAAATGGACACCTTCTAGTCAAGGTACTTCAGGAAGAGCCAGAACAAATAGACAAAACATAAGTTCTAGTTAGTGTGTCACAATCAACGTCGCAAACTCTGACTCGTCATCTGACTCAGTGGTGACGGACGACGACTGGACCACACTTCAGAAATGCAATTCAAGCAACGAAAAATGCCAGTTTTGAGAAAATGATAAGTTCTAAAGAACTTACAACAAGCTTTAAGTGGTGAATCCATCCACTAACACTCTGAACCGATAAAACTAAACACAGTAGAGCTAATAAGGATCGCATGTTCATTATGATGTTTACATCAATCCCTTCCGCCATAGTGGAAACTATGACGTTTGGACTTCCGGTTTGTCTGAAATGACGTCTCTCTTCGGTTTCGTTGTTTAGGCCTCGATTGTGCAAACTATATTTCAAATCCTCCTTGTATGAACATCTGGCTCTAATTTTTTCTTTTTGTGTTAGTGAATCACTACTTTAATAGGAAGTCATAGTTTTATGAAAAGTATAATCTGTTATAAAAAAAATTAAGAGGTCTGAAATAATGAAAAATAGCAAGATTTGTATATTAAAATAACCAATTAAACGAGTTCTTCATCAGACGCATTGTCAATTGATGACTGCTCGTACTGCTCGGCACTTCATAGGGGTCACGCAAGTCATTTTTACAACTGCACCTCTAGCCTAGTCACCGAGAGCACTGGGCCGTTGACATCGATGTTCTTGACACCAATCTGTCAATCTTTCAGCAATCATTGCTCAACGAAAGGAAGCTATTCTGAAAATGATTCAACAAAATGAGAGCTAAATATATGTCTTTCTTTCATCTGTGAATACTGACGCATTGGAATCTTGAAAGATTCGGTTAGATTTGCTCCAAATTGAAAAAAATTATTTTCAATAATACTTTTGACTGTGTCCGCGGTACCTCAACATGTAAGTTTTCAATGTCATCCCGTTCTTCTTTTCATCTCAATGATAGAACGTAGAGAAACTTCTGATGCCAGACAGACAGTCAGGTGTTGTTTTCAATTGCCCTCTTAAACTGACTAGATTGGTGGAAGGACTTCCGTAAAATGAGCATGGCTGATGGGCTGCAGTTAGCCACGAGTGTTAAATTTTACTGTGCGAAACACATCAATATAATAGATAATACGTCAAGCCACTGTACCCAACTTGTCGTTCCATGCAGTATCTCCACGGCCTTCTGAAAATAGTCTGTGGGTATCCCAAGATGTGATGACATCACATTACGAATTAGCAGCCTATCAGGCAGGTGCGTCGTTCTACATTTAGCCGCATTTCCCTTACACTACCCCTAACCCTCTTTTCTACTCTGTCTCATAGTGGTCGCTCCTTAAGGAAGTCCTCCCAGATTGGCTGCAGCTTTTTGGGGTGGGAATTACACTTGAATTTTACTCGAGCAGAGTTAGTCACAGTTAGTGTCTTCTCTTTTTTTCCGATTTTAGTTTTAGAATCGCCAATCAAGGTAATGTGCAAAACGTTTTTAAATCAAGACTTCAGTGACTTTTTTGTCCTAATCTGAGAAAACTAATAAGTTGCTGGATTCCTACTTGCCCTCGAATCAGGGGATGTACAAAACTGTGAGACAAAAATCCTATGATAGCAGTTAGAATTGAACTCCGGGATGATAGGCAAACACCATACTCCTGTTTAAGCTGCTCAGCACCCGTCATATTATAAGAGTATAAAATAACGTTCATGCAGCACATTTCATTTCCACTAGGAAAGTGCTCGATGTGCTACTTTACCATAGAGTTAATTAAAGAACTTTATTCTTAGTAAATCCCTTCAGTCCCTCCCTCACCTCCCCCATCCCTCCCTCTCTCTTTCTCTAATCTCTCTCTTTTTCTCCCTCTCTCTCCCCCCCCCTCTCT